GAAAAATTTGCTGAACTTTGGAGACATCATTAATAAAAATATAATTTTTATGGCCGTTAAATAATAAATGGTTTTATGTAGGTCCGCTGCACGTTTAAACTCAACGGTTTGTGCAATATCCGCTATTGGACTAGATTCGACCAATCCTGTCGCGACACGAGTCGGCGATGACGTTTTACCGTATTTTACGAGTTTCTTTTAGCGTGTTTATACAAATACGGTCGCAATTTTTTATCCGCTATACACAAATCCGCATTATATGTACCCGTTTTGTAGGAGGGTCTACTGTATATGGATGTTCCTGTGGAAAATATTTGCTTTTCCCTTTTGGAATTTAATAATTTCTATGCTTTCTGTAGAAAATGTCTGAAATTTTCAGGGAGGTTTGTGTATTAGGGGCATTGATGCTATATAATTTTGAATGTTGGAGGTCGAGGGGATGAGTTAAACGTGGCTAGTGTACCGTCGTGAAGAATGACCCTACTGTATGACCCTACTGGTCATACAGTAGGGTCATTCTTCACGACGATTTTACTCGTTATTACCATTAACAATTTTGTCATACTGTATGACCCTACTGTATGACCAGTAGGGTCATACAGTAGGGTCATTCTTCACGACGGTACACTAGCCACGTTTAACTCATCCCCTCGACCTCCAACATTCAAAATTATATAGCATCAATGCCCCTAATACACAAACCTCCCTGAAAATTTCAGACATTTTCTACAGAAAGCATAGAAATTATTAAATTCCAAAAAGGAAAAGCAAATATTTTCCACAGGAACATCCATATACAGTAGACCCTCCTACAAAACGGGTACATATAATGCGGATTTGTGTATAGCGGATAAAAAATTGCGACCGTATTTGTATAAACACGCTAAAAGAAACTCGTAAAATACGGTAAAACGTCATCGCCGACTCGTGTCGCGACAGGATTGGTCGAATCTAGTCCAATAGCGGATATTGCACAAACCGTTGAGTTTAAACGTGCAGCGGACCTACATAAAACCATTTATTATTTAACGGCCATAAAAATTATATTTTTATTAATGATGTCTCCAAATTTCACGAAATTTTCTGCAGAAAAATAATTTATCAGGAAACACGCGCCCGCAGTTCGATACGCCACTCCACGACGAAAACAAGCTTAAGCAATGGCGTCGTCAAACGGTGCACACTCGGTAAGTAATCCTATAATTTTTTGTTTATAGCATAGTTTATATGGATTATTCATAAAAAATTATACGTGTTTTGGAAATGTTGAGTCTAATTAGCCTAGAATCGATTAATTTTATGGAAGAACACCTTTCAAACAGTCGTAGTCCATAAACTGCATACGTGCTGGGCTGTAATTGGCTCATGTATTTAAGGACTCGTATAACATGAATTTCATAAAAAGCGGAACGTATCTACCGTGTTATAGGGGGGTCGACTGTATACACTTAAACGAAAGACACCGTATATGGCCTGTTTAGTTGGCAAAAAAAGGGTAAAAAATGGAACGAGAAGAGAGAAAACATAAATAGTAGAGAAAGGTAAAACACTTTTGAACGGAGTTCGTTTGGTTATAGAACCTTCTAAGTGTAATGTGGGCTTGCAATTTTTATGCTGCAAGGCTATGGTCCTCCAATGGGTCTAAGGAAACCCTGAGATTAGAGAACACCAATAATTGAGGGCTGCCACGAATATCTAAGAGTAGAGGTTAGTGCCGAGTGGCTGTTAGTGAATAACTTAATAGTAATAAATATAAGAGAGAACGCGAGCGCGAGACTTAAGGCTAACTTAATTGCTAGATTGATAGCGCAATAAACAAACGAGGACAACAACAAAACACAGACTGGACAAAAAACAAACTAGCAAGACTCCAAAGTAATTTCCATACTACTTTAACTCACTCTAACCTACCGAAACCTAATCGAGAAGCTATAGCTAACATGCCCTAATTTAACTTACAACTAAGACTAACCGAAAACTGAGTGAAAGGTAACTAGAAGAAAAGACATAAAATAAAAGGAAAGAAAGGAAATACTTAGTAATAAGGCAGCATTGATTAACTACAAAACAAACCAAAGGGTAACTAGTTGCCATCAATTGCACAGGAGTGAATACCCTCAATGGTCCCACAAATGGATATGAATGCAAGTTGTTGGAATATTGTACGCGTGTAAATGAGTTGGTGCGAGTTGCATGGCCAAGAATTGCAGCTCTCATTAAATTCCTAATCATCTATATATACAGAAAAATATCCTCCGAGCCTTTTCTTTTGCATTTTTCGATGTTTTAATCACCCGAGTTTGGTCTCGGGTGATTAAAATCTAGTATAATGTAAAAATGTAAAAATCTAGTATAAGTGTTATTTTTTCACTAATCGCTGTTATATATAACAGACCAATTAGAGAAAAAAGTAAAACTGCTAAAAATTGTAATTACTGTATTTAAATTAAGAACTTAAACTTAACAAAAAATATTCAAAATCGATATAAATATGCTATTTCATAAATTATAATAATAATAAATATATGAACACTAAACAAAGGATGTATGGATCAAAAATAAAAAATTTCACGGAAAAATTTTATGTTGTGAGAAGCCATGGGCATAGGATAAATTAACTCAATCCCTATGTCGCTTACTTGGCACAGATCGCAAGATCCGCTTACCTTAGTTCGGAGGGCTTTTTAGGTATTAAAGTAAATAAGGCAGAGAGAGATGATCTCGTAATTACCCTTCTTCTCGTCAGAATTCCCGACACCAGTTAATCTTATTTTAACGCGGATTAACACGCGTAACCACGGAATTGCTAGTATGAGGCAAAGTTTACGTTGAGTAGGCAAATATGTGGATGTTAATCATCAAAGAGTCCATAGTTAAAGTAACAAATTAAAATATTTAATAAAACAAAATATCAAAAGAATATACAATAAAAATAGATTACATGTAATATATTTTAGACCTATCTCAAGAGTAAGAAAATTCAACCCTCTATCTTAAATCTAACGCGTGAGAGTTTACACCAATCTAAATATTAATATAATACCTTCCCAGTTCTTTCCGATTCTTGTATGGGACATTCATTAATCGTTGCTTCTAAGGATGCGCTCTTTCGACATGATTAACCTTTTTGGAGCGGTCTTCTTCTCTCTTACTTATCGTATGGCGATATTTTATGCGGAGAACGACGAACTGCGGCCTTCTCTTTGTATGGAGAAACTGTGTTGAATTGTATGCCTCTCTTTCTCAAATGGACTGCCCAAATGTATGGCTATCTGTCCGACATCGTGACATCGTGTAGAGAATTCCCCCGAATGGTGGGAAAATTGTCCTTTTTGTCCAAGTCGACGGCCTACAGCCGGCAAAGTCTCGTGTGCAAACGTTTCTGAATCAACTTACTAGTATCAGAGGAAGGAAATGAACTTCCTTTCAAAATCGAAAGTTTTTAACATCCGTTGATTCGAAAATTTGTTAAAGTTACAAAAATTTAATTTCTATCGAAATTTAAATCGTTCTTTCTCTTTTACTAATTTCTTTAAAAATCACACCCCTTTCAATCTGGACTCTCACAATGTTTTACAAAAAGATATTATATGTAGAATAATATGGAAAAAATTAATTAATTATTTCTTTCCTTTCGCCGAGCTCAAAGAGTCGATCACAGAACTAAACAAATTAAATTATATTTCAGGTGATATGCAGTCAAGACTGTAAAATAAACATAGGTGATTTTGAATTCCTTAATGTCTTTCAAGAAATGGGCAACGAATAAACACATTTCTCAGGAGATACTCTAATAAAATGTCGTCTCTGCGTGAACTTGTTCCTGGTAAACGGACATGACGAAAATCAAGATATATTAGTCTTTTAAACGTAATTTTTAATTGAATTATTTAATTTTACACTAATACACACAATATCAGATCATTCTTTTACCGGTAGTTATATTCTGCACTATGATAACTGGCAACGTAAAGGAAATTTTTAGTAGTTAGCAAATTTGGAAATAATTCATTATAATTATTATTTAATACGAATTGCAATATGTCTTAACACTGTGAGTTCGGTCGTGGATTCGCGCCTCGCCATTACGGGCTGACTACGTGAAGTTTTTCGTGTTTTCTCCACGACTGTAACGCTTGAATTGGGGCCAGTTACCCTTAAAACACCTCTCGAAAGACATTCTTCCTAGACAGATCGCCCAAGTATTGCGTTACCGAACTTAATAAACAAACAACGAACAGTAGCGCCCTGAATAACTGTAATCTTTGGTTCTACACAGACCTTATTGTATGATTTTCTATATTTTTTTCATATAATTACAAATACTTTTTTAGTTATTCCAATAACTCTAGACATACCGGAAGTGTATTTGCAGCTGACAGTAACTGCGCGATTGTAAAAATCGTTCGATTCATTCCACGTTTGTGTGTAACTTTTTAATTATCTTTAAAAATATATCGTAAACATATTTAAACTTTATTTTAAGTATTGATTAAAATTCCAACCAAATATATCTTTTACATTTTTAAATTAGTTAGTTATATAAAGCGTATATGTTTGNTATAAGATTTTATGAGCAAATGTTAAAAGTGAGTGTCATGTTATATTGTTATTTTATTAAGATATATGATGTTATTAAAGTAAAAAATTATAAAATTATTATTATATTAGGTATTCCGTATTAATGGTGAAAATGTATTTGAGGTGTTTTTAATGGCTGCATTTTAAAATCTTTCCAATGTTACCTGTTGTACACCGTGGTTTTAGGAGACAGAACCATAGGTATCATATAAGTGTGACAATTTTTAAATATGATAGTTTTATGTCAGTAAATATGACCTGCACGCAAACAGTTTTGTCATGTTACTAATTATGTTTTTTTAATTTTTTTAATAATTTGTAGTATTGCACTGAAGAGGGACTTAACTTTTATATAAGCCCGAAATGCATATGTCAAAGCAATAAAAGAAGTGTCTAACCTGAAAGCTGTAATGATAGTCTACCGAACTTAATGTTGGATTAGAGACAAGACATACATAGAACATAATAACAGCTATCCAAAAGTGATATTTAGAATTTTTAAAAATTTGATTCTGTACATTGTATTATCATAATAAATTTATAATTATAAGCAATAAATCTAAATTTTTACGGAGTTAATCTCGCAGAATAAATGATCGTTGTCAAATCTTAAGTTTGTAAAATTTGTTACAAAATGTTATGAAAACGTAACTAAAGCAAACTTTCTCAAACTGTAGTCCGCTGGCTGTTCAGAGTAGAAAATTGTAACGTGTTAGGAATGGGACGTCATTCACTGCTCTATAACGTGATGCCGGAAATAACTCGGATTTATGCTGTTTTATTTCTTTATTACACATGCTGACAATTTTATTTTATTTTTTTCTAACGTTTTCGTATCATTAATTATTTATAAGTTAATAATTCTAACTAAATAATTGATAAATGAATAATTTTAATAAAAAAAGAAGAGAGTTTATAAGAAACTCGTAAAAACATGCTGCTTAAAATGTTTAAATACTTTGATGATACTCAGTTTAGTACTAATATATTTACTATAAAAACCAATAAAGTAAAACCTGTGTAAACCGGAATCGAACGGTACTGAATATTTTATTCGCTTGGCAGGTTTCCGTTTTAAACAAGTTTTTTAAATATACAGTATCGCTCTTTTCCACAAAATTTTAATTATAATACGAGCAAGTTAATATTTCTTACGACATCGTAACAATACCATCGAATTTACTTGTCTCTTGCCCCTGTACATCATAGTTTTTCTCCGAGAGTCATGCATTCATCTAACTCCTTCCAAGGGAAAATTTTTAAACTGAATTAAATTTTTAAACTGATTAGAAGTTTCTATACAGCAGATGCATGCGTCCTTGGAAGCGGTGGAAGCGCCGCTTCCCTCGTATTTACTAAAATATAAATACATATTGCGCGATTATTTTCATATTTAAACCAGGGCTGTGGAGTCTCGTAAAAATCTACTGACTCCGACTTTTCCTTACCATCCGACTCCGACTCCAACTCCGGCTAAAACACCAAAACTCCACGACTCCGACTCCACAGCCCTGATTTTAACGCACTTTGAATTAATTAAAATTAATATTCTATTATAACTGTATTATGTATCTTATTACAAATTTCTATATGTTGTTGTTTGTTAAATTAAGTTATGGCAACGCAACACTTGGGCGATCTGCCTAGGAGATGTCTTCCGGGAGGTCGTTTTATGGGAAACTGGACCCTATTTAGGCGTTACAGACGCGGAGAAAACCCTGAAAACTCTACGTGGCCAGCCCATCCGAGCAAGGCGCGAACCCACGACCGAATTCCCAGTGTTCTGAGTACGAAGTCTGCATGGTGGGCCACGCAGTCATCGTACAAATTTCTATACCACATGTGAAAATAAAACGATAAGATTGCTATTGTATATTCGAATATCAGTGGCGGAATAAAACCGCTGTACAGTATTGTCGAATACGGGACAGCAGCCAGATTATACGCATTTGCGCATACGCTTTACAGAGCACCAATCTCACGCGGTTTAGCTGGTGGAAGCTACACACCAAAATATCATATAACCCAGTGTTTCTCAACGGGGGCGATATCGCTCCCATGTGGGCGTTTTTCCATGTTGAGGGGGCGATTAGTAACAATTTATATTTTGGGGCGAAAAAATTTTTTGGGCGATATAGTAAAACATTATATTAAGAATAATTAGATATTTTTCTCGTTATATCGTACAGTAATTAAACAAATAACTTTATACTAGTTACTAGGCTATTCAATGCAGTACGAATTTGGCGTTAGCCTTGTCCCTCGGCATCGGAATTTTGTAGTGAAGGGGGCGATACTACGTAACGGTTTTATTGAAGGGGCGATACTACGTTGAAGGGGGCGACGGTTCGTTAGAGGTTGAGAAACACTGATATAACCGATAACGCTTCCAATGATTCTATCGCGGACCGGTTCTGGACTGTTAATTATTAACCAAACCGATAGGAGTTTACTGGTATGTTTTTTTGATAGTTCTGTATAGTTGACAAGAGTTTTAAAAAATTCATTAAAATACTTGATATATTTATTCTCCTTTTATGATGCTCTCCCATTTTATATTTCTCATAGATTTCAATGTTATATTACTTAATTAAACGAAAGCTTAACCGAACCAATCTTTAGCCGAGTACAGTGGGGACCGATTTCTTCGAAATACTGTATTAGATGTAATAAAGACAGAAAATTTTCCAGTTTAACGAGAGTGACTGAAAAGTATATTTTAGAAATTTCCGTGGACACCTGGTTCTAAAACGAATTAGTTAGAAAACAAACGACGGACAATCTATTAAGTTTAACATATTTAGATTTTTACNGAACAAAATGTGCAAACCGCCTCAGGCATCGACACACGTTTTTAGAGCAAATGACTAGGCTGTTCTTATTGTAGGCTGTGTTAAAATATACAACAGCCCTGTCGCGTCCTTTGAGATATACTAGTGATGCGACAAAAAAGGTATTTGATATTGACCGGTATCGGCACCCTCGGGATTTAGCAGTCCGCGTGTATGCACGCAATGCAACCGTCCCTGATTCCATCCATTAGCCACTCGTAGGGATCTATTTGACTGAGTGGATTGTTCTAAGAGTTTTCGAACGGGCCTTGAAGAAACGGAACATAGAGAAGTTTTTACTTTACTAAAGTTTACTTATTCACAATTTTTTCGAAAAATGTCAAAGAAGAAAAAAGCAGAACTTAAGAAAAAAATTATTCTTAACAATGGCAACTTACAATAGGAAAACCAACAATACATTTTAACAATTCGTTACGTATTGTTAGATTATACTTCTAACAACGCGTGATGTATTACGATCTCGTCATGTTTTTACTTCACATGTTACGTAAATGCATTAATCGGTTTTAAATATTTCAAAAAGGATTATTTTATAAAAATAATAGAAATATTTAGAAACAAAATTATTTTAACTTTAAAAAGTTATAATATTTTTTTAAAATAAATAAAATTATAAAAATGAAAATTATAGACAGGAATTATTCATTTTGTGAGGCATCCGGGGATACTACTGCTGAGTACTGCTAATTCGGCACGGATCGACAGATCCGTTCTCTACGTCAATGGACGGCCTTTGAAATATTAATTTAAAAAGGATCTAAATTGTGTAATCCAGATCCATGTCAGGAAGTTGAACCAGTTAAACCAGATAAACCAGATTAAACCAGTTAAACCAGTTAAACCAGTTAAACCAGATAAACAGGGAGACTATTGTCTCCCTGTTTATCTCGCGATTTATCTTAGGAGGGCTCTGATGAGTGGGGAGGACAACGACATGGAATTCAGTCATAGAAGAGACCATAAGTTATAGTGACAAATAAAGATATTTAATAAAACGAACTAAAAATGTATAGATCTAGATTACAACATGTTAAATTTCGTATCTCGCGGAGAGAGAGAGATTACAATTTTTGTAAATCATAA